TGTCAGCAGTGGGAACAGCATCAATGGCTCCTCTGTCCGCTGGGACCAGCAGAAACCTGAGAATCCCCCTCGGCACTTCCTGAATTACTTCTCAGGGCCCTGCAAAGAGCAGGGCTCTGGGATCTCTGCTCTCTTCTCTGCTTCCAAACACACGTCCAATAATGCCAGCAACCTGACCATCACTTAGGGCCTTGCAGAGGACGAGGCTGATTATTACTGTGCTACATGGCACAAGAGCACTTGTCAGTGGCAGCCACAGGCCCTCAGAGCCTGGAGGGAGCTGCTCCGGCTGCAGCGATGGGCCTGTGTGGGAGCACGTCACATGCAGCAGCTCTGTGCATGGTTTCTCCCTCTGCAGGGGAATGGCCTGTTACCGGTCACCACCCTCTCTGGGTAGAGCCGAGGCAGCTCTTCCCTCCTTTTCCTCCACCGTCCCTCTATGCCCTCTCTGTCAGGTTTGCGGTGCAGGGGGAATTGTCTCTGCCATTCTCATCCTCCACGCCTTTCATGGGGGAGAAGGGAACATAACTCCCTTGGCTCCCTTCACACCTTCAGAGAAGACCTATGTCCCCCCCACCCGCCTCCTTCCTTCTGGATGGGCCCTCTGCATGGCCTGGCTGAGGAGTGGGCAGCGCCCAGGACAGAGTGAAGAAGGGTGTCTTTATCCAATGGGTCTTTATACAGTGAGACCTTTTCTTGCAGACTGATCCCCGCTTGCATGTGGCTCCTCCCCTGTGTCCACAGGGGCCAATCAGGCAGGCGCACACTAGCAACAAGGCCCTGCTTCATTGCTCCCCTCCCCTCCACTTCCCCCCAGGGAATATATGAGGCAGGCATGGGAGGGCATTTTCCATGGGTCGATAATCACACCCACTCCACAACCACACTGCCCCCACAAACACCCCTTTAACCTCCTCGCACACAACATACAAGAGTAGGACTGTATTTTGAGCTATTATGCCATTGCTTGTAGATACACTACTCAAACACACAAAAATCAGGACAAAAATCTATTATTAATAAATTTAAAATAAGTTATAGTAGATGTTTGATTTCTTTCTTTTTTACTATATGATTTGTGTTTCTTAGGGGCAGGACTTTCAGTCCCAGGATGGCAGCCAGGAGGCGGGGCAACTGTCAGAGGGCGGAGCTACCCAACTCTTCAAGCAGCCTTCCAGCTGAAAGAATTGCCCACAGCTGGACTCAATGAGTGCAAACCCCATACTCCCTAGTACAGCTCAGCTGTAAGATTGTCCTTAATGATTCAATAATCTACAAACCTTGTTCTCTCTGCTTAGCTTCTACTCTGCCCTTTACTTGGTGTCAGTCAATAGTTATACATTATTTCCTCTCAGTCTGAAGCACCTTGAACACACTGTGGGTTGGAGCTCAAGCTGAGGAGTCCAACACAATCTGCTCATCATCAGGGACTTGCTTCCCCCACACAGTGTGCAGTGAGGCAGGAATCAAACTGGCCCCCAGCCCAGTTTGGTCAGAAATACATGGTCTGACACTAGGGTCACACCCAGAGGCAGATCAGTGGAGCAGATCCTGCAGAGAGCTGTGGTCATGCAGGGCGGGCACAGAATTTCATTCCCAGTTGCAACCCCCCGGGGAGACCTGCATGAAAACACCTAGATACAGAACAGTTTCTAGGCCTGCTCTTGCTCCCGCTGCCACCTGCAGGGTGTGCAGGGGTGCATGGGGTGTGCATGCACTCAGAGCAGTAGGTGCCACAGTGGTTTCTCTTCCCTGACTGCTTTGTGCCAAGTACCCACATGGGCACCATACTGCCCTAGAGCCCAGGCTGCCAATGTTCAGCAGCCATTGCACATGCA